GTTACTCAGGCTCAGTGGCCCAGTCTTAGCTCACTGCATCCTCCACCTCCTGGGTTCAAGTGATTCTCATGCCTCAGCTTCCCTAGTAGCTGGGACTATAGGTGTGCCTGCCATGCCCGGCTAATTTTTGTATTTATTTTTTTTGAGACACCATCTCTGTCACCCATGCTGGATGGAGTGCAGTGGCCTGATATTGGCTCACTGCAACCTCTGCCTCCTGGGTTCAAGTGATTCTGGTCCTTCAGCCTTCCGAGTAGCTGGGATTACAGACATGTGCCGCCATGCCTGACTAATTTTGTATTTTTAGTAGAGACAGGGTTTCTCCATGTTGGTCAGGCTGGTCTCGAACTCTCGACCTCAGGTGATCTGCCCGCCTCGGCCTCCCAAAGTGCTGAGATTACAGGCGTGAGCCACCGCGCCCGGCCACATGGATCTTTTTTTACCTGTGGATGATTTTGTAACCTCATGCACTGGTCATTTGGAAAATACTGGTTCACCAAGTTGTGCAGATTTTTTGAATGTTGACACATTTCCTTACTTGATATCCTCAAGTCAGATTTGTTAATATCCTCACCCATCTGCCCAGGAAAGTCTTTGAACACTGAGAAGCTGTCAAACACCCAGTGGAAGACAGAAGTTTTCCAAAATTCTAATTTTAAGTACAAAGCTTGAATTTGATTATTGGCAAGACACCCCATCAGCTGTTTTTCTTGGAGTGACAGGCTCACTTTGCTCATTTTTGAGAAAATGTCTGCCAGATAGCCCGAGTCTAAATAACCATAGTTTTGTCTGTCAGTCGTTTTTTTCCCCAAGTAAAAATAGTGTTCCAGGAAAAGTGGCTAATTTAGCTCACAACTCAGTTGCACAAGTGCTTTTTCCTGAGACCATCGTCAGACTTTGGCGTGTACAGAAGTACTTTCTGTGCACTTGCAATTTTCTTGCACACCATAATAAAGAGCTGTGTCCTCTAGGGGCAGGATTCAATATAATTAATAACTTTTACTGCTTCATCAAGAACATTCCAATGTTTCATTTCCTGTGTTTTATTGTTGATTTGCTTATTGTTTGTTTATTTCTCTTCCCCAGCCCCCAACTGAGACGGGGGAGATACAGTACCATTCGGTGCCAGGGCTTGACTTCTGCTCAGGCACCAGCACTTTTTCCCACCATTGCTTTTGTAGCGCTCACACACATGTCAACACAGTGAAAAAGACAAATGATGTCTTTGTATTATTGTGAAAGTAGCTTTGGGCCCAGTTCGGTGGCTCATGCCTATAATCCCAGCATTTTGGGAGCCTGAGGCAGGCGGATCACGAGTTCAGGAGTTCGAGACCAGCCTGGCCAACATGGTCAAACCCTGTCTCTACTAAAAATACAAAAGCTAGCTGGGTGTGGTGGTGGGCCCCTGGAGTCCCAGCTACTCAGGAGGCTGAGGCAGGAGAATCACTAGAACCTGGGAGGCAGAGGATGCAGTGAGCCAATATTGCGCCACTGCACTCCAGCCTGGGCGACAGTGAGACTCCATCTCAAAAAAATAGAAAGCTTTGACCTCAATGGAGATCCCTGAAAGGGTCTCAGGGATCCCCCAGGGATCTGCAGACAGCATGTGGAGAGTCACAGGTCTAAGCTGTTCTCTGTGATTGAGCATTTAGGTTCTTTCCGGGTTCTCCCTTTGAGGAAGTCCTTGTGTCAGCCCCTGGGACAGGGCCATGTTGATCGCCAGCTTTGCATAGGAAAGCCTAGCCCGCCGAAAGAACGGGAAGGGCTGCCGCCCAGATGTGTGCTGGCTGCCCTGTGTGGCGGTGGCGGGTGCTGTGCAGCTCTTCCTCTCTTCTCCCGACAGAGCAGTGAGTCAGTCACTCTGGACCTGCTGACCTACACAGACCTGGAGTCCCTGCGGAACCGCAAGATGGGGGGCCGCCCGGGCCCTCTGGCCCCCAGATCGGCGCAGCTCAACTCCAAGCGCTACTTGATCCTCATCTACTCCGTGGAGTTTGACAGGTGGGGAGGAGGAGCAGGTTCCAGGGCCAGGCTGCTGGGTGGGGTGGGACCCCCTGGCACCCAGGGCAAGGTCACATTGGTTAAGCCTTGCCTTTGGGGTCTCCCCTATTGGGGTCTGTATCATTAGTATTGTGTCTGGCTACAAGCAGCAGAATAACCATCACCAGTGCCCTGAACACACAATGTGTCAAACAAACAACACATCACGTAACAACACTTCTAGGTAGGTGGCTGCCACTGCGCAGCAGTTCCACCAGGGACTCAAGCTCTTTGTTTTTTGTTGTTTTTCCTCC